CAGCTCCTGAGCTGGGAGCTCTCCCTGCTGTGCCCAGTCCCTGCCTGACCCTCGGGCACGGTGCCCTCCTCCCACTGCCACCAGAGTGCCCAGAGCTGCCCAGAGCCTCCTCCTCCTCCTCCCTGCAGGCTCCAGTGGCCTCACCCCCTCTGGGCAGATCTTCCTGGCTCTTACGGACTGCCAGGAAATGAGGAGGTTCTCCCCAGCCCCCATTGTTTGTCAGGTTTGGGTTTTCTGTGCTGGATTAAAGCCACAGAGGGATTTGGGACTGAATCAAGATGAACTTTGGGTTCTGCTAAGACCATCAGAGAGTGAGGAGATCATTTGTATGATCCATGAATGTGTCCCTGCATGGGCCGGAGGTGGCTGAGGGCTTTGCCTCTCCTTTGCCTGATGTGAGCTGTGCTTGTGTGTCTCAGGAATATCCTGTACACGCCTGTGTCCCAGCTGCAGCCTCACCTTTACCTATTGCCCAGCCCAAATCCCACCTGGAAACACCAGGGAGCATCCACGGCACCATTCCAGGGTGGAGAGGAGTGCTCATGAGCTGCCCTTCATCCCCACAGCCACAGAGCCACAGAAACCTTCCCACCGGCTGTCCAGGTGCCAAGGGCCTTCCTCAGCCTGCTCCCCAAGTGAGAGGGCAGCTCGGGCATTCAGGATTGAATCCTGCCTTGGAAGTGCCTGCAAGCCCTGTTGGACATCTGGGAAGTGACTGAGTGACCTGTGAATGGAATTGGTTTGGGACAGAGTGTACAATGATCCACTGTCTCCCTCCACTCCTCTCTGCACTTCCCCAACCCTCTCCACCATCCTCTGCCTCTCCTGGAAAGAAAAATGAGATGTGAAGGGAAGGAGGCCCGGGGGGAATGCGGGAGTGCAGCTGTGTGAGCATCAGCCCAGGCTGCGGCAGGGGGAGCCCTGAGCCCCAGCCAGCCCCACCCGGTACCTGCTCCCAGCTCCCAGCCCCGCTCCAGAGGTGAAGTCTGGAGCAGCTGCTCATTTCCATTTAAGCTGTGGGGTTTGGGCTATTAATAAGCCTGGAAAATAACCACATGTTCCCTGAATTATGTAACAGATGTTAAATTCCCCGAGATGAAGAGGTGTCAGCCTGATGGAAGAAGTGATGTGAGGACCCTTCTTTTCCCTTAGAGCTGGGTTCTCCTCTTCTGAGCAGCGCTGATTATTAGAGAAAAGAAAGCAGCGTCACCCCCGGTTAGGACGAGCCCCACCTTTGCTCCGTGCCCGTGTTCGTGCCCCTCCTGGCTCTCCCCAGCAGCACATTCGGGTGACAAGTGTCACCAAACCGGGATGAGCTCCGTGAGTCACCGTCGGGCTGGCTCCAAGGAGAGAGGGAAGCAGGGCCAGGAGCTCCAGTGCCGGGCCAGCGAGGGGCTGGGCGGAAAATGCCTTCCCAATTAACCCTTTCAGGGACACCGAGGTGTTCACAGCCTCACTGCGGTGCTGTGAGAGGGCTGGAGGTGAGGATGGAGGAGGTGTCTTATGGAGGGGGTTAAAAAGGGTCCCATTCAGTCTCCTCTTTGATAATTTTTAGTTTTAGGGTTGTTGTTCCTGATCTTCCTTTCTCCCAGAGTGAGCACTCCTGGGGAAAGGTTCTCAGCAGTTCAGGGTGGTGTTTACTCACAATGCAGCTCTTCCTAAAATCCCTGCCGGGGCACTCGGCACAAAGATTGAGGCCACACCTGGAGGATGAGGCACCTCCAGCCCTGTGTCCTGTTCTGGGCTGCTCCAAGGAAGACCCTGAGGGGCTGGAATGTGTCCAGGGAAGGGAACGGAGCTGGGGAGGGTCTGGAGCCCCAGGAGCAGCTGAGGGAGCTGGGCAGGGGCTCAGCCTGGAGCAAAGGAGGCTCAGGGGGGCCCTTGTGGCTCTGCACAGCTCCTGACAGGAGGGGACAGCCGGGGGGTTGGGCTGTGCTCCAGGGAACAGGGACAGGAGCAGAGGGAACGGCCTCAGGCTGGGCCAGGGGAGCCTCAGGGGGGACATCAGCAGGAATTTCCCCATGGAAAGGGGAGTCAGGCACTGCCAGGGGCTGCCCAGGGAGGTTTGGAGGTGTCCAAGGAAGGGTTGGATGTGGCACTCAGAGCTCTGGGCTCGGGACAAGGTGGGGATGGGGCACAGCTTAGTCTTCATCCTGGAGATCTTTTCCAAGCTCAGTGATCCTCGGATTGGAAGGTGGAGGGGAGCTGTCAGAGCAGCTGAGCTTTGGTAGAGCCGTGTCTGGATGGGGACTGGAGACCCAGCCCAGGGGTGCCACGTTCTCTGTGGGTGGAGATAACACAGAGACAGACACCAGAGGCACGGGACAGCCCTGCTCCAGGGGGAGCTGCTCCCCCGGGGTGACTCTGCTCAGATCTCATTTCTGATCTGCTCCAGCATCTCCTGTTTGTCACCTGCTGGCAGGACAGCAGCCAGCCCCTGGTCCAGCACCGGGAATGCTCGGGAATGTGGCTCAGGCACAGCCAGGGATGGGACAGGTCCTGAGGGTGGGGACAGGTCCTGCTGCAGCTGTGGCCGTGTTGTGCCACCACCACTGTTAATGGCACTGCAGGGAAGGGCCTTCCTGGATTCCTCCCTCTTTTTTCACATCCTGCACGAGGCAGGGACAGAAATGAAGTGACTGCCTGCTAAGTGTGGAATTCAGCAGGATTTAGGATGTGCAGGGACTCTCCTGAGCACAGACACCTCACCTGGACAGGCTGGCGCAAGGCTGGATGCCCCAGGCATTGATTGTTAGGCACTCGGCAGTAAAAAAGAAACGTGGCGAGCAGGGGACTGGATTTTGGGTGGTTCCCCATTTCTGCCCAGTTCCCCTTTCCCTGTCCTTCAGGAGCAGTCTCGGTGTTATTCACTGCTCACCACTGATTAAGGGGCTGCTAATGGCATTACTTATTTCATTATCCAATCTGCAAGATCAGTCATTATCTAGGGAAAAGAAAAGTCCATTTCTTACTGGCATTAGGTGGCTGGCTGGCAGGGTAAAGTGCAAGGTTCACATTTGGGAAGAGGAGCAAGAAAAAATTTATTTTCAGGGAGAAAATTTGTGCTGAAAGTCATCTCCAAGTTTGCATTGCTCAAAGAATGGAGCTCAGATATCAGAGGAGGTGCTGCAAATCACAGAGATAAAAGAGGTAGCCCAAAGCATAAGGACTGTGTCAAGAAGATGCCCTCAGAGGGCTGGGATAACAGTGCTGGTAGTAATAATAATAATTAATAATAATTATAATTAATAATAATACACCTTGGAGGGCTGGGTCAGAGCTCAGGTGCTTGAGGTGTTGTGCAATTGCAGGCAAAGAAATTATTGCTTTCAATTCACCTTCCACAGAAAGGGCGAGTGAGGCCAGCTGGCGAGTGACAGATGGGCAGGGACAGCAGGGACGGGACACAGGGAGGGGACACAGGGAGGGGACAGCCGGGGCGGGGCCCGGGGCCCGGCAGGAGCCCGGAGCCGGTGTCAGGAAGGATAACGAGGGGCATCTGTGGGGCACCCGGGGGCACCGGGGCCAGCAATAAATAAATAAATAAATAAATAAATAAATTAATTAATTAATTAATTAATAAATAAATGTCTATCAGAGCACGGAGAGAGCCTGGCCGAAGGATCAGAGGTTCCTGGAATGTCCTGAGTGGGGAGGATGAATTCCAGCTCCTGGCCCCGCACAGGCCAGTCCCTAAAGCAGTCCCTAAAGCACAGCAGGTGCCTGGCAGCATTGCTCCATCGCTCCCTGCTCACGGCTGCTGTCCCTAAAGGAATGGGGACAGGGCCAGCCAGTCCCAGCCACAGGGGCCCTGCCATGGCCATGTCCTGGCTGCAGAGAGGAAGGGGAGCTGTGGCCACGAGGAGCCCTGGCATGGCCCCGCTGGGCATGGGACGGGAAGGGGAGCTGTGGCCTGGGCTGGGAGTGGCCTCAGGGCCCTGTGGGGACGGGCAGGGGCTCGGTGGCACGGCACAGAGGGGCTGTCAGGCTTGGAGGGTTTATGTGTCACCACTGGGGAGGTGACACTCGCTGAGGGGACACCCCGGGGGTGACACCTGCCGATGAAAGGTGCTCCTCTTGTCCCGGCACAGCCCGGCAGTGCAGGCTGGGGTCAGCTCTGCCCGGTGCCACCTCCTGGCACAGCTCTGGGGCCGCTGGGGGGACCCCGAGCGAGGCACTCCGGGCTGGCACCAATGGCAGCGGGCTCCTGGCCGGGGGGCTCAAGGATGCCCGTGTGGGTGTGTGCAGGAGCCTTTCCAGACTGTGCCCAGCACTGCCAAGGAGCGCCTGTGGGAGCTGTGGGTCTGAGCTCCCCCAGCCCGGGCTGCAGCTGGAGCCAGCCCTGCCCCTTCCACCCACTCTGTGCCAGCCCAGGAGCCCGTGGCTGGTGCCCCTTCCACCTGCACTGTGCCAGCCCAGGAGCCCGTGGCCGGTGCCCCTTCCACCTGCACTGTGCCAGCTCAGGAGCCCTTGGCTGGTGCCCCTTCCACCCACTCTGTGCCAGCACAGGAGCCCGTGGCTGGTGCCCCTTCCACCCACTCTGTGCCAGCCCAGGAGCCCGTGGCTGGTGCCCCTTCCACCCACTCTGTGCCAGCCCAGGAGCCCGTGGCTGGTGCCCCTTCCAGCTGCACTGTGCCAGCCCAGGAGCCCGTGGCTGGTGCCCCTTCCACCCACTCTGTGCCAGCCCAGGAGCCCGTGGCTGGTGCCCCGAGGGAGCAGGGCCGTGCCCCGCACCGTTCCCTGGCACTGTGCATTCCCCCGAGCCCCGCTTGTATTGGGAACCGAACATCTGTTCCAGATGTGGCCGCTCGGTGCCGGCGCTGCCGCTGCTGTCCCGCTCCTCGGCATGAATTATTGACCTGGGGGGTTTAAATAAATGATAAAGCCTGGCCGTGCGTGCGCTGAAGTTTGTGTCGCTCCTCCGCAGAGTCGCGCTCCGGGCTCGCCTGGCCCCATGATGAGCTCGCCCCACGCCCGGGCCCCGCCGACTCGAGTGCCCGATGGGGCTGATCCAGGAGCCGGCAGAGGGGCAGCCCAAGCGTGAAGGTGGCCGCGGGGATGAGTCTCCGGGCGAGAAGGAGGAGCCGCCGCAGCGGAGCCGGCAACCGGAGTTCCCCTCCTGGCAAGTGCTTTCGTGCTCTGCGGGCCCTTCCCGGCGCTGGCAGGGAGGGATGGAGGGAGGGAGGGGATGGGGGGACGCCGCTGCCCCCGGGGTGGCCGTGGGGACGCCGGGGTGCGGGGAGGATGCTGGCTCTGACCCTGGAGCAGAACCCGCCCCAGGCGCTGCTGAGCGCGGACGAACCCCGAGCATCTCCCGGGAGGGCAGAGGGACCCCGGGCTGCAGCCAAAGGTGGGGCCCGAGCGAGCCGGCCCCTCCTTTCCTGCTGCCTTCGCCTGGGAAGTCCGAGTGGAATTTTGGAAGCCGAATTTTGGAAGCCTGGTAGCCTTGGAAATTGATTTTTTTTTTTTTATTACTTTTCTTTCTTCACCATTTTGAAAAATGGCTTGACTCACAGTTGCATGAGGCTGTGGGGACTCACAGCAGACCATCTGTTTCAGCTGTTAACAGTCATTAATTCTTTCGTAATTTTTGCTACTTTCGAGACACTTTGGGGAAAAAAATATGTTCTGGATGGCATTGGAGGAGTTCAAAGTCACTAACATATTTTTCTCACAGAAACAATGTGCCGTGAATGCAGTTGTTCTAAAAGAAATACATTTTTATTGGCTTTCTAAATGGGGAATTTGTCTCCCGTGGCCATGCAGGAGGACACAGTGTTTATCTCCTTTTCACCATGTATTTGGCTCATACCTGCACTGCAATCCACAGACTGAGCAAGGTTTTTCTGGGTTGAATCTACTGCAGAAAGGCTTTTATTTAAAAAAAAAAAATACAGTGAGATTTTCTCTTAAGCCACTGCATTTCTGGGCCCAAGCACTCAGTGATTAACTCTGGGATTGTCTCCTGCCCTCCTGGGACAGGTGCCCCCAGCTGATGGCTCGGGGTGCTGGGTGGGGCTGGGGCAGCTGGCCTGGTAAATATTGGCACAAACCATCCCATTGTCACTGTCCCCCCAGCCTGGGCACATGGACCCTCCTGCCTCCTGTTCCCTGAGCCAGCTCCTCAGAGGGGCTGTTCCTGAGCAGGGAATGCCCCTCTCTGTGCTTCAGGTGTGCTCCTCACCTGCTCCATCAGGGCCTTCAGCCAGGTCTGGGGTTCACCCCTAAGCCCCTCTGGGGGTTTCCCTGTGGCTCATGGAAAGTTTTAGATGCAACAAAAAAACATCCTTGTGCTTTGCATGGAGTGCCAGGACAAAGGGAATGGTTTTAACAGCCAGAGGGCAGGGATAGATGGGATATTGGGAGGGAATTCTCCCCTGTGAGGCCCTGGCACAGGGTGCTCAGAGCAGCTGTGGATCCCTGGCCCCCTGGCAGTGCCCAAGGCCAGGCTGGACATTGGGGCCTGGAGCAGCCTGGGACAGTGGGAGGTGTCCCTGCCATGGCAGGGGTGGCACTGGATGGGCTTTGAGGTCCCTCCAACCCAACCCATTCTGGGATTCTGTGATTCCACGATTTAAGGAAATGGAAAGAGAGGGTGCAGGACCTTGGGAACACGAGGTGGGGCAGCTCCCCCAGGGGAGTCCCTTGTGCCACCACGAGCCCGTGGGGTGGGGACAGCAGAGCAGAGCACAGAGCTCTGGCTCGTGGCTGAGCAGCTTTGGGTCCTGTGTCTGTGCCAGGAGGTCAAACACGGCCAGGAGCCTCCGGAGCTGCTCCGGGGAATGAGGAGCAGACGGGCCCTGCCCTGCCCTGCCTGGCCGGTGGCACCGGGGAGGGGACAGCCAGGACAGGGAGAGGACAGCCAGGACAGGGAGGGGACAGCCAGGACAGGGGATGGGACAGCCAGGATAGGGAGGGGACAGCCAGGCACAGGGGAGGGGACAGCCAGGACAGGGGAGGGGACAGCCAGGATAGGGAGGGGACAGCCAGGACAGGGGAGGGGACAGCCAGGACAGGGGAGGGGACAGCCAGGCACAGAGGGGGGGACAGCCAGGACAGGGAGGGGACAGCCAGGATAGGGGAGGGGACAGCCAGGCACAGGGGAGGGGGACAGCCAGGCACAGGGGAGGGGACAGCCAGGACAGAGGAGGGGACAGCCAGGCACCAGGGAGCACTCCCAGCCATCCATCAGCACTGCAGCTCTCCGTGCAGTTACAAAGGTGGCCTGGAAAGGCTCCCTGGAGCTGGCCCAGGACCCTGCCCGGGCTGGCTGGGGGAGCAGCTCCTTGGCACCACCTCTGGGGCCGTGCTGAGGCTGAGCCTGGGCTGGGACACCGAGGGACACCTGGGTGCTGGGGAAGATGGAACAGGAAAGCCTTATAAATATGATTGCCTGGCAAAAGATTTTGAGAATATAGAAACTATAAGTGAGATTGAAATGAAAGCAAGCTTTGAGATCCCTCAGTTACTGAACAACTGGAAAACAATGGCATGGCTGGCTGAAGGTGATCCCCTTTTGATGGAACACCCTCTGCTTGCAGACAGGCCCAAGGGTCAGAGCAGACCCTACAGCTTGGCAGAAGGGGCCCAAAGAGGAGTTTTAAGGGTTTAAAATGTAACATAGTGTGGTAATGTAATGATTCTTATAGGCTGTATGTAAATGCTATAGGATTTGTATATTGTACTAGATTGGTCAGTGAGAATGAGAATATTCAACACAGAAGAAGATTTATTGTATTGGAACAATCGCTCTCTTACCTTTTTACTCCCTTACTCTCTTACCCTCTCATCCTCTCTGCCCCTCTTCTCTCAGTCCTGCTCTGAGCTGTGGCTGGCAGCTCCCAGCAGGGCCCTGCACCCAGGCCTTTTGCAATAAACCCCAAGTTCCTGACCTGGCTGCAGAGATCTCTGCTCTCCGTCCATCCCCACTGTCCTGCCCCCCAACGCTCCAACACTGGGGACAGGGGGTGGCACAGGATGGCAAACCCCAAATGGCTCCATGGGGCAAAGCAGAGTCCATGGGATGTGCCCTGAGAGCTGAGCTCAGGTCTGGATGATCCCATATTCCAGGGATGGACTGCAGCCACCTCCTGGCCTTTTCCAGGCCATCCCTGGCTCCTGCTCTCCTTCCTGAGCAGGGGCTGTGCCCGAGTGCTGGAGGACAGCCAGGATGTGCTCGCCAGCAGAAGGTGCAGGAATTCACATCTGGAGCCTTGGAGACGTTTGGGGCCAGTGTGGTTTTCATTTGAGGCCTTTCCGTTCTCCATTGACTTAATTAAATTAAAAGAAAGAAAGAAAGAAAGAAGCAGGCAGGATTGGGCTTTTTTTTTTCCCTTTTTTTTTTCCTGATCAGATGCCTGGCTCGGTGTGCAACAGAGCCAATTTTCATTTTGAAATTTCCTTTCATTTTAAAGCTCCCCACAAGAATTTGGAGCTGCAAACCAAAATGAGGAGGTGTCAGACTTCACAAACCAATCCAACCCCAAACCTATTCATTAACTCAAAAAGCATCTTCTATTTTGTCAATTTTCTGGAAAAAATTGACTTAATTTTTTCAAATAAAAACATTGCTTTTAAAAAGAAAGAACAAACAAACCTGAATTAAGCAGAATTACTCAATACTCCTCATGATTTGCTGCAGGGGAGAGAAATGGGGGTTGGCTCTTGGCTGAGGGCTGCTCTCCTCCTCTGCCCTTCCTGCTGCCAGTCTGTGCCATGGGACAGAGAATTTCTGACTATGGACAGAGATTTGCAGGTTTGATAAGGATGATTTGAGATCCTGAGGCCTCTTTATTCCTGATGCCCCAAGGTTTGTTGGTTTTCCCTGCATCCATCCTCCCCCTCCTCCCTCCAGGGGCTCAGAGCTCGATGCACCCCAGAAACCCCCAGGGCACAGCCTGTGAACCCCTCCTGCTCCCAGTGCAGGGAGGGAGGGAGGGAGGGAGGGAGGGAGGAAGGAAGGAAGGAAGGAAGGAAGGAAGGAAGGAAGGAAGGAAGGAAGGAAGGAAGGAAGGAAGGAAGGAAGGAAGGAAGGAAGGAAGGAAGGAAGGAAATCTCTCCCCAGCAGGAAATTTGCCCATTAACACCCCAGACACCAAAGCCTCAATGGAGCTCTTCCCTCAGCTCAGATGCCTCTCCCTGATGGGAAGTCTAAAAATAAGCACATTCTCCACAAACAGCTTAAAGATGTTGAAAATGAAAAGCAACAAAGGCTGGAGAATGGATGACTCACTAAATTACAGGGCTATCTTTCAAAGAGCAAAACAAACCCCAGAGAGCCCCCCCAGCCCTGGCTGCTGAAATTCCTGCTGGCTTTGGGGCTGGGGCTCAGTCTGTGGGCTCTGAGTGACCAGAGGAAAGCCAGCCTGCCCAGCAGCACCAACTGGAGGTGTTCTTGTCTCCCACATGGGCATTGCTGGGAGTTTTTGGGATAATCCCCCTCACAGGAGCTCCCGGCATGAGGAGCCTTCCTGCAAGGGCTGTAAGCAAAAATTCCTGTCCACAGAGGGTTCCCTGGCCCCAGGGAAGCCACAAGTGTTTGGAGCCTCTCTGGGAGAAGATCCCTGTGGGTGTCTGTGCCTTTAGCTGGGTGAGGTAACACAATTAAAGGTTTGGGATCTTCCCCCTCCCTCAAGGTCTCCGTTCAATGAGCTCCACCAGGGTGGACTCTGTTGCAAAGCTGCAGCTTTTTTAGCATTTGCAGATGAGCTTGAATCAAAATGCTGGCATTTGAGGCAGCAGGAAAGGGGCTGGCCTGGAGCCAAAGCTGTGCCTACATCTGATGTTTGCAGCCAGCCCCAGGCTCTGGGAGAGGCTGCCATGGATCCCACAGATGGTGGGGCTGAGGTGCTGCTGTGCCAGCCCTGCTGCTGGGCTGTGCCTGCCCTCCTTGGGCCTGCAGGGCTGCAGGGTGCCCAGGGGGAGCCCGGGGTGCTCGGGACTGGGAGGGACTTCAAAGGGGTCCAGTGCCACCCCTTCAAAGGGGTCCAGTGCCACCCCTTCAAAGGGATCCAGTGCCACCCCTTCAAAGGGGTCCAGTGCCACCCCTTCAAAGGGATCCAGTGCCACCCCTGCCCTGGGGACACCTTCCACTGTCCCAGGGAGCTGCAGCCTGGCCTGGGGCACT